CTCTTTTGGGAGGGCCCATCCTCTGTCTTGATTAGCTTGGGCTTCATGCGGGCTAAACGTTACCCATCTCTCCTTGGTTTTTTTTTTTTTTTTTGCCAACCCCATCTCTCCTTGGTTAGTCCATATTGATATCTCTTAATTAGTAAGTTAATAGTAATTTCATAATCTTCAAATATTTTTTAATTACTCAAAAACTAAAAAATGCTTATATTTCTAAAGTTTTCAGATAAATAAATTATACGCTTTTTAGGACAACAAAATTAAACAAAAGTAATCATGACATGGAAGTAATTGAATTGTTATAATTTTATATTTAATGTTGATGATTAAATTAAAGTAAACGATATATAACATTGTGTAATTTGAAGAAAAAATTGCGTACATTTCAATTATTATGCAAAAAAATAACAAACATTTAATGATGGTAATATGAAGATATAATTAGTATTAAAAGTTTATATCCTTTAACACAACATATATAAAAAAAATAAGCAAAATCTTTTATATAATACCTTCCCAATTGCCTTTAATTTTCTCAATAATCAAAGAGCTTTAGCACTGTCCGAGGAAAGTGACATGTGTGATAGGACTGAAGGGATAAAGGGGAATCTCATGAATCATGATTTTCAGTCTTTTTCTTCTTTCCAACTCGCAAAACAATACTATAGAGCCCCAATAATTTATCAAACACTTCCAAACAATTTACTTTATGTAGAGTAGTAAAAAATTGTCACTAAAAAGGTGCTTTATCAAAATTTTAAACATCGTTAATTTAGATTTCCTTAATCCCCCGCCGGGAACAGCCTCACCCCCTTAATCATAGATCCTATATACATAAGTAAACTAATCCGCTTGGCAGTATTCTTAAAATTGCACAATTCTAGGAAGACTCCTATATATATAGTCCTAAGTCCTATGTGATTATCATATTTTATACTCTTCCAGTCCAATAAATCTTATATTTAAAACCGAAAATTAAATTGGAAGTATACAAGAATATGGTGGAAAAAGTAAGTCCTTATGCTCGGTAGCTAGTAATTGTATATATGAGACAAATTTGATTACATATTTCAGGGAAGAACGGTTGAAAATATACAATTTAGTGTTAAATATATATATTAATGAATTTTTGAGGGGACCGTAATATCACGTGTGCTAACCGAAGTTAGACTAATGACCACGAGCGAATAGTTATGAAAGCACTAACTTCACATCAATTAGGTTCTTGAAAGACACTAGCATAGTCTCCAATATATATTAATAATATGGAATGAGAAGAAATTGCATAGTTTTGTTGTTAGCCAGATAGCTAGCTAGGCCATGCTCTACTAGGCTAATTAATTAAAAATATTTTATTTTTATATGTACATTTTCATCATTATTAATTTTATATTATAGGTTCACTGTAGGTCATTGTCAATTCTCATTCTCACCCACAAATAAACAATAATTAGTGATTAATAGTGACGTATTAAAAATTTATAATGTCCATACTGTGTTTGTGGGACTTGTTGCATGCTGTGCTGATCGTGAGTAAGCATATATATATAAATATATATATATATATATATGTTTGTATTTCTTCCACACTCTTGGTTGAAAATGATACTAGATTCTTGATATTTTTATTTATAATTATATATATACTGTAAATGAAAATTTTACGTCATCCCAAAACATTTAATTGTATATATTAAGAGCAATTATTAAATTGATAGTATTATGTACTAACATAAGGAGTCGGTCTTATTCTTATTGAGAGTTGAGGATTCTGAAATTCATAGGATCCTCCCACCCTTCTCCACTAGTAATACCTAAACAAAAAAAGGGCCTAAAGATAAGCAAAGAATCCAAATAACTTAAGGATCGCTGCAGATGCCCCCGCCCTCTCCTTTTTCTTTGTCCTCTCTTCACTGTCGTTGCTGTCGCGGCGAATTATTATAGAGTATTATTATTTACAAGTCTTTCTCTTAAAATAAGAACTCAAGTTAAACTAAACTTTAAAATTTACAACTTATCGTTTTTTTTATTTTTTAAATTTTCATTTACAAATTTATTCATAATTGTTTCCTCCATTTGCACATGTTATTTCTTCAAATTCTACAACTCTTTCTTTGTTATATGTTTATTTCATAAATTAGTTGCAAAACCTTTTTGTTATTACATACGTGTGATCATTTACAAGTAAGAAATATTTATTTAACTTTTAAAATTTATAACCCACTTGTATTTTCACAGGTTCTTTAAACTTTAAGAAATATTCTTATAAAAAAATATTTAAAAAATTAAATTTTAAAAAATGACTCATAAAATTTGAATAAATAAATTGCAAGAAAAGAGTAATAATTATAAATGAATATGTAATTTATGAAGAGAATCATTGAAAAAGCAGAAGAATGAATTGTAATTTAAGCATGAATTAACTTTAGAATATATAGTAAAAAAATGTAAAGATAGAGATGCTAATCAATTCATATTTATAAGTTATATTTAATAACTTATATTTATAAGTCGAGCGGTATCATTTACAAGTTAAATTTACTTTTAAAAAATTAAATTCTTGGAGACTTCTCAATATTTAATCTTCTTATCTGGACTATATGTCTATATGGTAACTTTTTCGAATTGGTCGCTGGTAAAAAATAAATATTAATTGGTCTGTATCAGTGATTAATTATTGTAGTTCAGGGAAGGAGAGAGAAGAAAAGAGGGGTATTTTTACTATTTTACTTGTGCTAGAGATAACATCCAAGTTCTAAGAGAATTCTATGCAATTAATTAAATTCATATCATGAGACTCAATTGACATTAAATTTTTGATAAGACGAATTAAATTGTCTTTTCCGTTTATAATTTTGGATCGAAGCATGTGGCTTTTGCAAATGTTGAAAAACGACAAAGTTTCTATGCTTTTAAGTATTTTTGTGTTATCAATTTTTAGCTGAAAGGATGCGTTTACATTTTTCATTCTTTAATTTAAATTTTATAAGATGTTTCAGGTTAAAAAAGTGAAAAATATTTTATAAAATTGAAAAAATAATGAAACGGATGAAACGTCATATAAAATTAGAGAATCAAAATCTGTACTTTTTTTTTGAAAAATTATAATCAGGTCTCAAGGAAGGGATTTAATTGCTTTAAAATCTATTGACAAGTAAAGAGTAAGCAATAACAAGTTTGAAAATAGAAAATGACAACAGATTCAAGCTGGTCACTTATTATTAGGGTTTTTTGGTAATTAAATTTTTATTTTGATATCTCTTGGTAATTCTCCATTTTTTGCCTTTGCCCCAACTCATTCTTTTTAAAATTTCAACTATGCACATATTGTTTATTTCTCCTCCATCCCGGAAACCTCTATCATATCAATCACCATCAATCAATTATCAATACATAATTAAAAAAATTTATAAGAGATTACATTGTTTAACAAATCGTGACTAGTTGGGATTATCTCAGACTCCTTATGTCCCTCTAATATGATGCAGGATGAATTCTGGATATATATTCTTCCAGAAGGAATGTAATTTATGGAGTTTATTTGGAGTAATCCGTCAGACCAAGCCTGAATTCCCGGTTCAAACAAGCCGGTCGGTTATCATATAGTAGTACTATCTATTTCATAAATGTGTGCATAACATGATCAATACTTATAATTCTCCTAAACCAAGTGAAGGCTTTCATAATTATTATGTACACATTTGAATGCGCTGCTCCTTCTCTCAATGTTTATGAACCACCATATGATATACTTCTGTTATCTTATTTATAATTCACTTCTAGCATGTTTTACATAAATTCAGAAAAATCTTAAATTTTATTAATTATCTTGTAAAATTCAACAACTTTTTAATTTTATTCCTATTTAATATACATTATATCTTTTAAAAACAAAGTCTTTACAATAATAAATAAAAGGTAAAATTTTATATTTGTATAAAAATTTCTCTCTCTACCCTATATATAGGACTAAAAAATTCCTTCTTTTTTTATCCTACACATAGGACTAGAGGAGTACATACAATTTGAATTATACTATGTTTATATCAATGGTCTAGTTTTTAATTCTATAAAAAACGAAATATAAACATTGAAAAAAAAACTATGCACTAATCTTCGGCATTTATATAATCCAAGTGAGTAATTAGAAAAATCATGGCAGTACTGGCCATATGTATTTCAAGACATCAATATTAAAATTTCTTCTCACCCTCCTCCCGCATTCTCTCTCCCTATTCATAGTTCTATCTTTCCACTTTTTAATCAATCTCTCAGTTTTAAATGTTTGAAAATAAAATACAGTTGTCCCCACTACGAAAATAAAAGAACGCTATAATTAATAAATATCAGTAGATAAAAGATGGTTGGCAGAAATTGAACCAAACGCCCTTTTGGTCACATATTTCTTAACCTACTATTGTTATTGTCCGTCCCCTTCCTAGACTGTCCACACCCACACCCACACACACACACACAATTCCTTTCGTCCCTAAATAGTAAATATGTTAGTTACTCCTTCTTTTCACTCTAAGACACCTCTAACAACCTCATTGAAACTGAGGAAAGTTAGTTAAATCATTACTTTTGTATGGAAATAAAATCATCAATTTTTAATTTTATCCATATTAAATAGAAATTTTTGCGTTTGTATTACATTATCTCTCATAGCTAGCAACTTTAAATAAGCGTGATATTGAAAAACTTAATTAATACCCCATAAAATGATTTATAATAAAAACCATTGTATATTTATATCTCTCCTAAAATGTGCCCTATAATAAAGACAAGAACGAGTAGGTTTTTTTAATATGTGTCCCTAGAATTGCATGATATTCTAAAAAATAATCTTACTAAAAACTCCCCCTTTTGTGATTTGTCCCACTCGCTTAATAAATTATCTTTTTAAAAAATATCTATATTTAATTAGGGGCACATTTAGACAGATAGATTTCTTAACGTATTTCTGGCAACTGTTTATTATATTTAGGGAGGGGATTATGTAGCAAAGCATAATTTTTTCATACCCAATCATAGAATAATGATAACATAACCTCTAAGTCATAAAGGGAAATTTAAGACATGCATACTCCTATGAAGCGGCGACAAGTGATCCAATAATCTAAACATTGAATGTGTACATCACTTAATCACTGCGTGCACTAATATTCTACATGATGCAGGAAGGTTGTACGGACTAGAAGAGCATATTTTCGTCTCGGCTACCATTTATTACACCAAGAGAACAGAACTGATAAAGGTGTTATTGTGAGAAGAGTCCAAGAGTGGCATCGTCTAGTTCAAGGAATTGATTAACCCACTCCAGATTAAATTGAACTTCTTCATTGGACAAGTCAAAGAACCCATCCACATTATCAACATCGGGTTCTTTTGATGCGGCTTCATCATCAGCTCGCACTGTAGAATTCTCTTCAGGAACTGCTTCCTCCAAAACCACTCTTTGGTTCTCTTGTCTGATTGAACTCCCACTTGATTGCTGCTCCCTCTGTTTTATCTTCTTGCACAAGTGAGAATTCCAGTAGTTCTTTATCTCATTGTCCGTTCTTCCCGGCAGCCTTCCGGCGATTAAAGACCATCTAAAGATTCATGAACAATTTTTTTTCCTATTATTTTTCCATATACATTAAAATCTTTATGTCAAAATAATCATCATTAGGTTCGAAGCAAGGCTACATATAATGCTAACCTGTTTCCAAGGAGTTTGTGAAGTCGAAGTATCAAATCCTCTTCTTGTTCTGATATGTTTCCTCTCTTGATGTTGGGTCTAAGATAGTTCAACCATCTCAGCCTACAACTCTTACCAGCACGATTAAGGCCTGCAACATCAACCAAAATCATCGAGTTTTCTTTTTAGATTATGATGGCCACGTCACAAGTATCCTTGTGCCTCTCAACCGCAACAAACAAAACATATTCTTTATTTCTAAGAAGGAATGATACCCGCTTTGGCAGCGATGGACTTCCACTTCTTGGCCCCATGAACTTCAATAACCTCAGCTAGTTTCCTATCTTCCTCCGGTGTCCAAGCTCCCTTGCTGACAGCTCCGTTCTTCATGGTTTCATTTTTCACTTTGCTCTTATTATCATCAGTCCTACAAGCCATTGGCTTTTCTTTCAGCACTTTTTAACAGGGAAATAAAAGAGAGTGAGAGGAAAGCTCAACGACACTGGTGTGTGTGAGTGAGAAGCAGTTATATATATAAATATATATATATAGTGAACTTGGGAGTGTGTGAAGTTTAATTCTTCGACTTGCAGTTATATGTATACGAAAAGTGCCTTGAAGAAAGAGGGACTATCGTAATTAAGACGCTTGTCAGTATCAGGGAGAGAAAGGACATGATCAAGCAATATATCGAGTCATACAAACTCTACTTTCTAGTTTTTAATTTAGCCTTTTCTTTTCCTTAATTTGTAATGCTGAAAAGAATGTCTGCTACAATATAATATATGACTGCTACAAAGAGGCCGTGGTATACATCCATTCCAGGAGCCGGCCAAGATAAAAACATGCATTACAGAAGAAAAAGATGTTTTTTAAAGGCGGCTATATATAAAGGGTTTCATAATTGCAAAAATGATAGATAACAACTGCTAAAAATATATATATATAAAGACGTGGATCAAGTATCAGTCCATTAGTACTGTGTCAAAAGCAAAAGTGATTATCGTCAAAATAGGTTTTGGTGTGTGGACCATATACGATTTAAAAAGCTCAGAATTTCTAGCTGTTTAGACAATGGGTCTACTGATGTGCATGTTTTGATAAAATTTCACTGAATCTTCATGTCACCAGCTAAGTAATGCAAAGATTAGTGATTTTTTTTATCATTAAAAAATTATATTTAAGAATCTCACAGATTTACTGTGACTGTATATATAATTAAGTGAAGCCCTAATTAAGTATTTATACAAGTAGGTATATATGTAGAATATATAGCTTTTGGCATTTAGCTGATAGATCTGTAATCTGAGTGTTCTTCATTTTGCTTTGCATGTGCTAATTAAAGTATTATAACGAAACGAAAGGAATGGATAAAATATTTAAGTAGTGTAATGAGGTATGAAATTATTGGCATCAAATGAGAGAATATACTAATACACTTGTCAAAGTGTAGAGATAACATTATTTTGTCGGTGTGAGTGCATGAGGAACAGGGATTATTGGTTATGTTTCTGCGTTTCTCTTTTGAGGACTCTAGGCCTGCGTCTTTTTGTACTCGTTCTGAGCACACGTATTTTATTGTGTAACTTCTGATCCAACAGCTAATTCATTAAATTATATTCAAATTTCTGCAATATCCCCTCTCTGGCCTCCACTAATTTAAACATTTATGCGTATGTGCGGGCGCGTGTGTGCAGGTACTTCTGTGCTTCATGATCTGACGTTGCTAAAACTGAAGTATTTATTTCACCATCAGAGGTAAAAGCTGTATTATTATTACATGAGAACCAACGCTCTTATGTATATAAAACAAAGCATCGAGAATTTTAGCAAAAAGGAGAGGGGTTTTGCAAGTTGATCGCCGTAGGTGAATTATATATAAACTAAAAACGTCTGATCAAGACAACTCATTGATTTAAAGTTGAAAATCGTTTACCTTGATTTTTTTTTCCTAACACCGAAAGGGAAACTTAGTGATAAAACGTAAAGCAGACAAGAAATTAAAAGTAATTGTTTGTGGCTTCCCCTAGAGTTGTTCAACAACTTTCCTAGAAATTTGTTTCCCTAACCATGAGGGAACTGTTTATTTCTATGCAAAGTCAATAACATGAAGAGAAAACAAACAAGGCATTAGAAGAATGCTGAGAACACAAAGAAAGAGTGAAGGAGAGAATAAGAATAAGCTACCTTAGGTGTTGACAAGAGCGAAGAATATACGAATCCATTCGGACATTGCTTGTTCATTAAGTAAAATGAATTTGGTGCCATAAAGGTCAATAACTTTCTTTAATGGAAATGAGAGAACGACTAGGAAACATGAAGAGAATGACTCTATTTTGATACATTCAAAGCATTCGAAATGTGCAATTCATTCTTCAAACTTCACGCCTTTTACTTCTACACGAGTATTGTTCATTTGGACAACAAATTAAAATTAAAGTCAACTGTATAATATACTCTCTCCGGTTTTTTTTTATGAGTTATAAATGATTAAATTACGTTGATTAAGAAGTCAATTAAAATTGATTAAGGGTAATAAACATGTAAAACATATGCTCCCTCCATTTCTTATTATAAGATCAAATTTTTTGCATTGATTTGTCCCTTTTTATCATATCCATTTTGGGTTTGTCACCAGCTAAAAATTGTATGAAATGCTGAGCATATGCATAATATAGTTTAATTTATATAAATTTCAAGACGTATCTAAACCCTGAAATGATTAGCTAGTGCCAACAAACGTAAGTGATGGTCAAAGGCAGCGAGTTCGAGGAAAAGATTTTGTTGTCCATGTCATGTCACATGCACGTTGCATTAGTGAAGTTGGCTGAGCGTACGGCCAATGTTTAATTTAGGAGAGATCTTGGTCAATCTTTCGTTAGCATTATTGGAATATCTTTTAATTAGAAAGTTTGATGACAACAATCAAGCCCAGTCCCTTAATAAAGGGCTCCCGTCTCCTCTTTATATTATACTGGTATATGTGTTCGCGAATCATGAGCCTTTATTTATTTATTTATTTATCTATCTATCTTGGCCAAACATGATTGAGAAGCTAAACACACTTTTCCATATATTCAACTCTTTACCGTTTTAATTATAAGTAATCATGTGGGCATTTGAGGAAATATTTAATTTTAAACGTAACTGAGAAAACTAACAAACTTTTTCCTAATAAATTGTGAAACCTTTTTTTTTTAAACCTATAGTTAAGATTGACGGGAAATTAATCTAAGAAATAATATAATTCACACTCATAGCTAGATGTGCATTAAGAGTCATGTCATGTGCCAATTTTATTATTATTTTCATATATTGTCAATACTTTTTACAATAATTTCATAATATGGGAAAAAGGTTATTGGATAGAAAATCATGTATGACGATATTAAAATTTTGAAAAATTAAAAATTACAAAGGGGAAAGGAAACATTCACCATCAATATATTGATTTTAATCGATTAATGGGGAAAAAGTTATTGCATAGAAAATCACGTATGACGATAAGAATTTTTTTTCATTTACGGAAGTATAATTATGCCCTTAGCTTGTCTGCGACAAATAAATATGAAAAAAGATGTACAAAATTTAAATAAATATCTACACAGTATTTATAAATTACATTAATTAATAAATTCAAAATTATAACAATCATGATCTTATTATTAACCAACGTCCCTTTGTTATCCTCCTTGCCAAATAACTCTTTTTATTTGTACGGGAGCATAGTGCTGAAAATATATTTAGATAAATAAATGAAATAGTTTTAAAATATTTAGTATATGACATATAATTAATTAAATTGCGTGAGTCATGGAAAGCCTTTAGCAAAAGTAACAGGAATAAAATAATGAGCAGATCAATAAGCATGATAACAACTAGTTGTAAGGCAAAACGCAATGAAAATGAAATGCATATGGTGAAGAATAAATAATAAGTAATTTTAGGGAGCAGGTTTGAAAACAAAACAAGAGCCGAATAAAGTGTGTGAAAGGGGGGGACAAAATTTATAGATTTTGCCTCGACATGGTTAGCATCCAATGTCGACTAAGCTATATATATACTATCTCCTCCTGTGCTTTATACTAACTCAGTATTTAATATAAAAACAAATTGACTAATTTGAATAAATTATTTTAAAAAATTAGTTAAGTTAGTTATTTATAATAAATATTTATTATTTTTCTAAAATATTCTTACTAATTAAATGTATTTGTTAGAACTACCATTATTACAATGACGATCTTGAAAAAAAATGGATAAATATATATAAGAAACAAAGTAGATCAAATTCCTATATTTAGAACCAAAATAAAATTAAATGAGTCTTTATATTAAGACCGGAAGTACTATAAGAGCTAGTTTAATTTTTAATTTGATCATAAATATAAAACCCCAATCCACTTTGTCTCTCATATTTATCTTTTTTTTAAGATAGTCCTTGTAGTAATGGAAGTTTCAGTTAATACACTTGACTAGTAAGGATATTTTAGGAAAGATAACACCTATTTATTACAAATAACTAACTCAATTAATTTTTTTAACCTACTCAAATTAGTCAACTAATTCTTATATTATAGACATGAGGCAACAAACATATATATATGGTAATAATATATTGGTCATGTTGTGATGAAGATATTACTTTTGGTCTTAATTGTAAGACTTTGTTTATAATCTACAAACAAGATGTTACAATTATTACAGGAGGCAGTATTAAGTATCAAATAATACATATATGGTTGGGTCCGCTTCTAATATTTTTCCTTTTAATTACCAACTGTGCATGCCACTATTCTTCTAATTGAGACTGACGACGAGTACGACAAATAGTTTCATATACAGTCGTTTGACTGTACTACACGTATCCGTGATTTTGGTTCATTGTTGCCACCCGTATACATTTATTAAAGACATTTCACATATTTATTAACATAAAAATTAATATAGAAATATACTTGATTTTGTATCTATTTGATGTAAAATAGCTACTCTTTTATTGGTACTATAGCTGTCTTTGGTCCAGAATGGAGGACATGTTTTAGCTTTTGGATAATATGGGTTGAGTAATGTATTATAGGAAGCGTCTTGTAGCCTAGTAGTATTGATATTTTTCTGTAAATGAGAAGTTGTGAGTTTGATCTCATTTGTAATTTGAGACGTTAGTGTTTATCTTTTTAATTTAAAAAAAAAGTAATATGGGAGTTTTTTTTTTAAATTAATAATAATAAACATTGAACCTCTCTCTTCAGGAATGGGGCACGTGTGGCAAGGCAGAATTATATTGTTGACAACAAAACTGAAAACAAACGTCATTTTTAACGAGATCAAGGGAAGTTGATGAAAATGCATGAAGTCCTTAATATTAGTATCAAAATAGTTTAAAGCATTTAATAGGAATTAGAGAAAATTGCAACAAAAAAAAGACCTTAAAAATAGAAAAATTGTAAATGAGGACCTGTTACAATATTAGTATTGGT